CCTTCTGGACTGAAGCACAGAAGATCTGGGAGGATGGTACAGACATAGTGCCAACTTTTCATCCATTCATCCATCATTCACCAATAATTTTAAGGGCCTTTCATAAATTGAGACTTACAGGTTGTGTTATTTGTCTAGGCACCAGTGATGATTCCACATACATCGTTCAAACCCTTGACTTTCACCTTGGGCATAATACCATGGTAACCAAACCTTGCGGTGCTCTGGAGAGCCCAATGGCAACCATCACCAAGGTTACCCGCCGCCGCCATGAAAACCCACCGCATGGGGTGGCTACAGTCAAAGAATGGTTCAACTATGTCACTGCCATGAGGAACGAAGGTAAATGTTGCACACTCAATGGCTCTGATCCAAAACCTAGTGAGCTATTGCCCAATAGGCAGCCACCTTCTTAGGCATAAAAAGGAATCTCAGAAGTTACAGAGCAACTCTGTAAATAAACAGTGCTTCTCATGTAGGGGTGTTGCAATATGCTAGTATTTACTATGAAATTACATGAGATGATACCATATTAACATATCTTATTATCGTAAAAAATGTTGTGTCTGATTGACATTCCAACATAATATATAGTGGTATAGCAAAAAACTGTGCAGTGTGTCGCTACTGCTGCCACACAAAATTACGGTTGGGGACCGAAACCCGGTACCAATATGGCACCAGTACCTATGTAACCGGTATGTACTAGAACCGAATCCGAACACAGATTTCGGTGCCTCATTTCGGTGCCATGCCTGAGTGATCGATTGAAATATTTGTCCTCTGGTTCTCCGAAACGGTCGTAAGAAACATCGCGGCACCGCACGTGAAAAATAATTTCCCAACTGAGAAAATGCACGTGAACTCAAGTCGGAAAGGTCTAATAATACAAATCCAACACATCTTTGTAGTAACGAGAGTGTCCGTGTTGTTTTCACATTCCGACTTAAAAGCACAACTCGGGAAATAAAAAAGAATACATCGATTAGCAATAGATTATAAATTCGGGTGACCCATACATCCTCTTTT